TGATACTATTTTCCATTATTTAAAGGGTTTTTTCCCCCACCACTTTTGCTGCCGTGCAAAGGGTAACACACACATTTGTCTTACTTTGCTTTGCTCTGTTTTTATTTCTTAGGTCTGTCATTTCTGTGCCACAAACTACCATAACGGTAGATGAGGAAAGAGTACAAATCTCATGTTCTGAAAAAATTTCTGCAACCATTGATTGTTTGCTTGATATTTGATGCTTCAATTGATTTTCCTATGTTTTTTCAGAGAGCTGAAGGCAGATAAGCCTAAAATGACATGTTGGAGTCTTCTTTGTGGCTATCCGCGCAGAGTCACCCAAATCAAAATTCACTCGGCAGAGGGTTTACAGAAGCAGGACAGATCAGGTGGTAAGTGTAAAGTGAGCCTGGGAGAGTGGAAGGGGGCCTCTTCAGTCCTCTAAAGATGATCTGAGTTGACATGTAAGCAGTCAGAAATCATCCAAACAAACTGAAGATTCATGGGACTTTTTTTTCAGCATGTTGTAAAATCTGCTCAAAAGGAGAGCTCAAATGAATAAGATGATGCAAACCAGCAATAGTTCTGTGTCGTCTATGCTGGTCCAGATGTAGTAGTAGCCGGACCCTCCTGAGAAGCTTTTTGAGGGGATTAATAAGAAATTCACCTTTCAGAGTTATGTTTTTTTAATAAATGGAGAATATCCAGAGAGACATCGTAATTGCACAGACTCATGTAGTGTATTACACTTACCTCAGCAATGTTGTTCACGGTCTTCAGAGCACTTTGTTCTTCATTACCACAGGATAACAGCACTTCAGGGAGGAAATGATGGTTTTCAAACAACCATTTTCAGCTGGGTAAGCTAGGACAGGCAGAGGCTAAATGACTTGTACAGGACTGTATCTACATGTCAAAGGAAGCGTCCTGAAGGACACTAAAATGTCTTTCTGGCATCTGATGTTGACAGTTAATTAGGAGACTTGTCCAGTTGTCATCTGCTTCCTCATTTTCTACTCCTACTCTCCATCTGTTGACCTTCATTTTCCATGACCAGTGCAACAGAAAAAGTTAGACACATCCAGCACTGAGCAGTTCGGAGGAAGAAAGCAAAGGAGCAAAGATACTACGGTGAAATTGGAACAGGAAACTAAAGAGGTTCCTGAAACATCTGCTGTGTTTGCTCCAGATAACTCCTCACCTCTCTCCAGTTTAAGATCTGGAGCTCAGTTGTGTTAACTTCTTGTGGCAGAGAAGGCATTAGACTTAGACCTGTGGTACAGTTCATCTTCAGTCTCACAAAGCAGCTGTAAAATTTCTCCCATCAGCTGGCTACAGTTTTTCTTCCTGTCTCCTGTTCATAGTTATTCCTGGCACCCACTGAGCGGTGACTGAATGTACTTTTCACTGTGAAAGCCTCTTTCTGTTAACTCTGGTTGTCTCTTTGGGGGACAGGAATGTTGGAGGGAAGCGATACAGAAAACGGATTAAATTCATTTTTCTTGGTACTTTTCTTGAAGAAACAGAAGCCACAAACACCTCAGTCAAACAAGCAGGATGGATGGGTGAGACTGCAGGGGCTATGTGTGACAGGGATAGCAGTGCAGTGGAAAGAGGTGGTATGTTCTTGTTCTTGCTGCGTGAAGGACATTTTCATTTTCAAGGGTGGTTTTCTTTTGCTTTTAAAATTCCTTTAACAGTTTTCTCTAACGTTCCCTGCAGTAAAGCAATAAAAGCCAATTCTCCACCCTTAGCATTTCACAATCCTTAGCACAATTACAGCCTTGACAAGATCATTAAAAACAATTGCCTGCAGCTGCCAAAGACCAGGCTTCAGCTTAGAGAGCGTCAATTTGGTGCATTGTGACGCAGACCCTCAGGAATATACAAATAGGACTTCCAAGCAATGTGTAACAGATGTTCTAACTACAGCATAGCCCGAATACCTTTAGGACCCAGTACTACTACACGTGGTCAGGTTGATTTGAAGCATCTTCTTCCACTTTGATTTCAGCATCCAGTGTTGGGCCGATGGTGACCCTGACAGAACTGAAAAGGTAACCTATTGTGGAAAAAACTGTCAGTAGGAAATGGACTCACAGATTTTCTGTTTAAACCTAAGCAAAGCTTCTGCTTGATTATTTTATCTTTTGAAAAAATGCAGAATTGGGTCAAGTGAAACTATTTGTGAATTAGTATTGAATTCATCAAGTGGCTGAAAAATTCAGTCTATCATTGTCAATTTTTTTCTGAAGCATCCCATTACCCTGTGTGAAACAAATTGCCATTTTTAAATTAAAGCATAAGGGGGTTTGAAGACAAAACCTAAATGAATCTTATTGTCTGACTTTGAATAAAATGTCACCAAAAAAGTTAAAATATTTTCATTTTGGATCAACAGAAAGCTTTCACTAAAACTCTTTGTCTCTTTTCAGCCCATAGTTCCATCCATTCAGGGGGCACTGAAGGAGAGCTGAATTGCTTCACTTCAGCAGCTTCCCCATTATCTTGAATTCTGCTGTGAAATCCCTGTTTAAGTCTTTCTTTACTAGCCTTTTTTTTCTATAAGTATCTCCAGCTCACAGAATGCATTCATAGATTGTCTTGCAGAATGCCACATCTTATTGCAGCTTCAGACAAATGAAGTAGGGAGAGTGTGTAAATAAAAAAACCCATGAAGCCAAATGTGCACCGCTGACATTTGTGCTACACAATAAAATCAAGATGAGCAGTGACAAGGATACTCGACAAGAAGCTTCTCTGGCTTCTCTGGATCCACATCTGGACTCTCTCCCATGCTTATCTGAAGGAGAAATAGCAGAAAGGCATTTGAAAAAGAGCAGCTTTCTCAGGAGTGAGTTTAGACCTCAAAGTCCCATGGGCAGTTACTGAAACACCAGCCTTACTTACCTGCTGCTCCCGGAGCATTTCCTGATGTGAACTAGACTTAAAAGTCAACAGCAGCCTCCTGACTCGTCAATACTGCGAGATGAGGGAGGAGGCCACACAGCAATTGCCATGGGTAGTGACAAGTAGAAGTTTCCTTTCAGGTTAGGCACAGTCAATATGTTTATTCAAGTAGCAAATAGGTAGATTAAGTGGTTGTGTTTTCCTGCTGCTCAGAGGACCTCACACAAAGGTTAGTCATTTTCCGGTGCAAAGGGTGATGGCAACTTGTTTCTAGGTGCGCTGCTGCATCTGATTAGCCCCACTGCATTTCACAAGGGTTTCCTGGCTTCTTCTGATCTGCAGCATCTCTGCTCTCAAGCTGCTGCTTTTCCTATGCTCAGTCTCTGCCATCTGTCAGCTGCATTCCACCTTGTCCAGCCACCTGCCTGGTTTGTCACAATCATCCCTTAGTATAGAGAGAAGACAAAACTTGATGATAAAGGAGGAGGTTATGATCCATTCTGAAGCTTCTGAGAACGAAGACATGGCATTACGTCTCTGTGATGAACTGTCCTGAAAACATCAGGATGTCTCTGTACTCTGACACCAGGGTATGCAGTTGCAGAAAGTAAGAGCAGCCTGAACAGACATCATTTTTTTTATATATAACTAGGATTATAGACTTGAATGCACTGTTTTTCACATAAGCTTATCACTGTCATCTGACAGTTGAGCTTAGCACAAATTTCTGAGCAACTACATAAACAAAACTGGAAGAGAATGAAGGTTTCATAGCAAGTGCACACCTGGCCTGGTTCACAAGCTGGTTGTCATCAGAACCCTGCTCTCTGCCAGAAGAAGGTTGTTTAATCTCTATTTTAAATGTTTTTGGAAAGCTTCTCCTTGCTGCTCTCTTTGATCCATTGTCCTGTCTGGAAAATACAATGGATGATTTGCTGTTGTCAAGAACAGTGCATGAATCTTGCTGCCCAGACTCAATTCTGAATGCATCCAGGCTGCTTCTCTGGGAAGTACCTCTCTCCAAGTTAGCTTGTTCTGAAGTTGATCCAACTATCTGTGAGCCAAGTGCAGTGGCAGGTTTGCAAGAAAATGAGGAAACCCTGTGTCCTTGGAGATTTTCTGTCTCTTGTTCACAAGTCTGTCTTAAAAATAGCTCTCGCTACTGTCTGCTACTCTTTACCCAAGAGCTTATCTTTGAGAACAAATCACCTTTTGCATTTTTAAGTCTTCCCACTGAAATTCCATGTTGAATTCGCGTGTTTGATTGCCTTTCACCACTCCTTTTTTAAAGTAGTGCAATTCTCAAAAAAAAAAAAAAAAATTGGCCTTAGACCACTGGGCGTAGATTTCTTTAAGTCTTAGAAATGTCATTACTGTTCAAATGTTTCTGGCCTTTACAGATTTCAGCTTTTTCCTTTGCCCTGTTCTTTCATACATGGCTTGAGTCATGTGTGTGCCTGAGAATTGAACCCCATCCTCCTCCTACTGCCAGAGCAGTTGCCAGAGTACAGGCTCCAGTTGTTTTCATTCCCGGCTCATGGTGAATACTAGGATGTCCCTCTTCCATGTTAGTAGCCATTTCTGCATTGTCTTTGTCCTGTAACCAAACCAGGCCCAGACCTGCAAAGAGCTGGGCCACCTGTGACTGAGAACGTCCCTTGTCTCATCCCACGTGTGCAGCTCTGCCATTTCTTTCTCTTGTTCTAGAATTGGAGCCAGTTCTCCTAACATAACTATTCAGCAATGCCATCGTGAGGTCGTGTTGTGCAGGTACTTTCATGTTTCTCTTCTACGTCTCTCTTTTTATTTTCTAGCTCTTCCTGAGAATTTAAATCTGTTTCTTTGAGATGTTACCTGTCCTTTTCCTTTCACTTAGCAAGTCCCTTCACTAACAGCTCCCTTGCCCAGCAGATACCCTGTTACCTCTCTAAGCTCTGTGCCCTTTCCCCACCCCTTCTTATGCCCTTTATCTCTTAATTACTGTTAATGATCAGATGTTGCTTTGCTCTTTGCCTGCAGCCAAAGTAGTTGACACCATTTCATGCAAGACCCCATTTTATTCAGATCAATTTTCCAGATCTCTTTGCAAAGGGGGGAGCTTTTCCATCCCTGATTACACAGCATGGTGCTGCCCCACATCTCAGAGCTAAATCCGCACGTCCAGTGACACAGAAAGTAATTGCCCATCAGAAAAGCCAATAGATGGGTACCTGCTATAGGACGTGTGAGCTGTTGTCAGTGGAACAGCCCTGTCGCACGTCTGGCCAGCTATAATCCGAGTGCAGCGTATGGAAAAATCTGTTTCTTTCTCATAAGTGGAAGCAGCTCCTTCTGTTTTGGATGTAGCTGTTACGCGGTTTATTTTGCGTGAGATGTTGGTATCCATTCCTGCAAGGGAGGGATGTGTTTGAGGAAAATCATCCTGGGTAGGGATTGTTAAAAAACAAAAGCTGCCTGAAAATCATGCTGCCTTACAGCTGCCGTTCCAGTGGTGGCATTTTCAAGTAGATGGTGACAAAATGTGTTTAGGACATGATCATGAGTCTGACTTACACACATGCTGTGGGTTTATTTAAAATCTGTATCTAAAACATAGCAAGGTGTGGAAAAACAGATATGCTGTCATTAACAGTAGGAATGGATAGAAATAGTTGTGTAAAAAATGGTAGTGCCTGTGGTTAATTAAAAGTTAATTAGAAAGTGGAACGGTCCATCTATTTGAGGATACAGACAGGTGTTTCCAAATTGCTTCTTGCTCCCTATTGGAATGGAAAGAAAATATCAACATTTATAACAAAGTAAAAAATGTTCAGTGTAAAAAAAATAAAGCATTTCTAGAATGTTGAATAATCTCAGTGGGTTACATATGATTAAAGTGTAATTTAAAACATTAACTAGGACCTATAATGCATACAAACATGTTATGATAACAAAAACTTTAAAAGTCCATCTATCCAAATGATAGAACTGAAAAATTGTCTCAGGTTCATGGGAATGAAATGAGAAACTGGGGAGGATCTCCTTTGACAGTTTCCCACAGAAAACCTTGTTGAAACCAGTGCACTCCTACAAGATGTTTTTGCATTTTGACAATATTTTGCTTTCTGGAAGAGAAACCGCTTCTTGAAAACTACCTCCTAACACTAATACTCACATCAGAATACATGAGAGCACCTTCAAGCCAGGCAGTCGAAAGCTGGGCACTGAGGTGTGCATTCAGTGATCTAAAAGCAGTTCTGTGCGTTCCTGCAGTTCCCTCCGTAGGAACTGTGGATGATGAACAGTTTTTGCCTTCCATTTTGGCCTGGGCACCCAGAACTACATACCAGATGGCATCTGCACAGATGCATTTTCGCTCTCACATCTAGAGCAGCGTTGGGGAGCTCAGAGTGTCACTCTGAAGATGTTCTGTTAGATGAGCCAGGAGGATGCACAACAAGGGAGTGAGGAAAGATTGCAATCCCAGTCTAGGAGTGAGCTGGTTTCACAGCAAATGGTGCTTGGTTTCCAGCTCTGAGCATCCATTTGTTACTCTAAGAACGAGGTGTTTCGCCTCTGCTGGTGATGGGCAGGTAGCAGTAGCTGTGACGTGCTCTGGTGCTGCCAGGCATGGGAGGGGATTGCTTCTGCTGGGTTTTGGGCAGGTCTCAGCTCCATGCTGTGTCCTAAGCGCTGTGCTGCTGGTTGTGTTTTAGGAGCAGATCCCTACGTGCTTATCAGGTGTGAGAACCAAACCGTGCGCTCTCCTGTGCAACACGATACAACCAGTCCCATCTTTGACACACAAGTGATTTTCTACAGAAAGAACATCGACAGCCCTATCATCGTCCAGGTGAGATAAGCCACGCAGGGTGGGTGCTAACAGCGGGTAGGGGAGCACGACAGCGTCGCTGGGCTGAACGTGTGCGAACTCTTCCTTCATGAATGATACCCAGGATAGAAGTGCGAGAACTTCTGCTCCCCTTCCTGGGCTGGGCCTGGAGCTCAGCTGCTCTGCTGATCTCTAGCCTAGCTCTCTCCCATAAAACAGCAGCTGATGACACTTGGGCATCAGGAGGCGTATTTCATTCCAAGGCTTTGAAGGAATTTACAAAATTACCTTTTGCCTCATTTGGTACCTGACAAAACAGAAAGAAAAGACAAGTGCTGTCCAGAGTCAGAGTTTGAAATAAAACCAAAGCTAAGGCTACTATCAAGAAGTTTTTTACCTTGAATTCTAGTCCTGTGGGAACTAGACTGCACTGTTTACCTCAGCACTAGCTGGAGAAACAGGGCTTGGTATTTAGGTGAGGCAGTGCAGGAAAAGTTTGGGAGAGTAGAGCAGCATTTCAGTTTGATACACACAGTTGTTTAGTATAGAAGTAAACAACTTTAGTACTAAGGACTATGTCTTTTTCATCAATGTAGGGAGATCTTACAGTGAATCTGTGAATCAGTTCACTGTGGCACCTAGGTGCCAGAAATTGAAATAGCATTGTAGCACATTGTCGCAATAAGAGATGCATTTCTGACTTTTCACTGCCTAATGCAGTACTGGTGCATGGTATTCCTGTGCCATAGTACTCCTCTGAACTAGCAGCTACAAATATTATAAATAAAAGGAGGATGATAGCACTGCTATCCCCCAAACCACAGACTGTAGTTATGGATTAGAGGGAACTGATACAATAGCTGATGGAACGTGGTCTGTGTTCTTGGCATGTGCAGGATTTACCCCATTGCCAGGTCCTTAGTAAAGATTTTATTTACACATGGGATCTCACCCCATCTCTCTACAGTATGCAGCTCAAACACTTTGACTTTTCCAGGATAGCTGAAAATTAGATACTAATGAACGTCACAGACCAAAGACTGGCATGTGAGACTAGCAGCAAACCCCACTGTTAGCACTATTTCTCTTGCTGCTTGCTATATGCCCAACCCCACCCTGAGCAGTGACAAAGGACATCTCCAGAGACTCCGAACCACTGCTGTCCCTTGCTTTAGCAGCGTGGACCTGACTCTGACAGTCAGGAAAAGCACTGAAGACACTGCAGAGGTGAACACAAACAGGCAGTGGCACAGACAGGCTGATTGCATGTAGGTTTTTACCGCTGAGGAGCTCAAACAGGTCATTTTTCTTCCTCTTCTAGGTAGGCTGTGACCTAGAAAGCGAAAAGCTGCATTTAGCTCCTTATTTGCATAGTGTATGCAAATGAGCATGCAAATGCAGAATCTCCCACATGCTCTCTAGACAATGAGCTAAATTTAGATGTACGCCCCCTCCTCACTGCTTTTTCAAGGGGTTAATGGGGGTGACTTTCCTCCAGCACAACCCTTCCAGGTGGAGTGCGAGAGAAGCACTGCTTCAGCTGGGTTTATTTCTGTTCCCTTGTCTCTAGGTCTGGAACAGCAACGTCTTGTGTGACCAGTTCCTCGGACAGGCGGTGCTTGGAGCTTCACCCACTGACCCCAGAGAACAGCAGACTCTGCAGCTCCGAGGGAGAGGCAGCCGAGAAGCAGCGGAGGTGCCAGGTCACATCACCATCAAGGTTTTTTCCAGCGATGACCTCGTGGAGCTATGAATACCAAAGCCCCGCAGAGCCAGACAGAGCTGTCACCTCGCAGCAGGGGGGCTTGTCTGTGCTTTCTGTGTGAATGACTCAGGAGCAAAGATTTCACATAATCATAATCGCTTTAAAAAGAAAAAGCCCTCTAACTCTCCACATTATCACGGATAATGGGGAGAGAGACTTTTAAAGAGGGAAAAATACATGTTTATACATATATGTTCATGATAACAGCAAATACAGTAGAAGAGGGACCAAACTAAATGTTAGCAGATAAGCTCATTAAGGTGTGACCATCTTCCCTAGCAGCATCTTTCAGGAGCTCTCGGCACATAAGCTGGAAGCACATGTGACCGTGCTCGCAGGTTCCCAGCACGTCGTCATCTGTTCTCAGCAGAGGGGCTGGATGCAGGCAGGGACGGCTGCATCTCCATGGTCACGTCTCAGCAGGTTGGTGGGGTGGCAGCACGAGGTGGATTCGCGCGGCTCAGTCCTTGCTGCCAGGCTGTATTTGAGAGGGGGGATTTTTTTTAAGCTTTGATTGGAACTTTTTTCCTCATGTGGGCATATAAAATTCTTGATGAATTTCATTGTTATTGCTACAGATCAGATGTTCCTGTTCCTTGGCGAAAATGTCATTACTCAAGGAGATCAGTCATAGGTCTCCTTAAGACTGGGCATGCCAGGGCAACATGAAAATAAAGGCAGGTCTTGCAGTGCCTGTTTGAACACTACAGAAAATAAGAGCTTTGCTAGCATAAAAGCTCTCAGATTGACTTCCTTATTCTTCTGTTCTCCATCTCACAAGCTGATACCTCAGGTCAAGAGAAGGGCATTTCACAATTCAGCTGTGGTGTTGCTCAGAGAACAAATCCAGTAAGGGAGCTTCCTTGCTAAGGAGGCTTTGTTTAATCCACATGATGCTAAAAATGGAACAACACTCCCTTTGCTTCTTTAGATGTGATGGGTAGCACGACTGAAAGAGGACAAAATTAGCTCATGACAAGGATGGGTTTGTAGAAATAAGATGCTCTGCCCTGGCAGGTGTCGGGTATCTCTCTAGAAATTTTGCATCGGTTTATTGCCGACAGAGCTGGCGTTTTTGATGAAGTTTAACTGGGTTATACTGGAGGACAGCTATCTTTTCACATATCCTTCAAAGCATGGTTCTGGTATAAACTTCCTTCTAACTTTTGCATATAGCCTGATTGCAGGGTTTCCTCATAGAAGACATTTCTGGGTTGTCAAGCTGCGCGGTGATTCTGGCAGTGTAAGGGGCTCACTGTGTTAGACATCTTGGAAATGGGTTTTACACGGTTGCAAATTCAGGTCTTGAAAGTGAAGCTCAAGGATGACTATCCTTCCTTTAGTCCAGCCAGGAAATTTGGATTTCTGTGTACCTCGTAACCACTTCAGCCATTTTGTGCAATTTTTATAGTTTATAAAATGGCCTTGAGTAGAGTTAATGTTTTCACAAACGGTTTTGAAGTTTCCCCAGGGCTCCAAGAGGATCATTGCTGTGGTAGGAAAATGCTTTCTCTGACATGTTGGAGATGGAATGTAAGGCTATGAATGGTACTACACTGCCATCAGCTTAGCTGCGTGTACCAAGTACCTAAATCCAGCTCTCTTTTTAAATAGCTTGGGCTCAAGCCATTTTGCACGCAGAGCATTTGTCAGATGTGAACTACATGCGGTTGACAGCCCCACAGGCAAATGGAATTCTTCTCTTATAGCTTCAGAGTTGCTTGCCCTCAGATATGTTTGTAAACGGCAATTTTTTTTAAAAAAGCATGAACTTTCTCATACAGACCAGAGCTCAGGCAAGCCACTGCAACTCAGTCTGGGTTGTCCTAGCCCTGCACTAAGACCTGTTGGCTTCTCTGATTTTTAGGCTTTGAAAACTATGTCAGCTCAAGACATTCCCACAGTTTGTCCGGAGACAGGGGACCCTTGAACACCTGTGCTGGCCAGGCTGGAAATACTCTTGCTCCCTCAGCATTGCCCTGAGGGTGTCACACTCCGGTGCTGGTAGCTGTGGGAGGCTTGGGCATGCTGAGACCAAGCAAAATGTCTGTACCTCGGCATTTATTAATTTTTGGAAATAGTTGGTGTACCTCTGCATTTATTAGTTTTTGGAAATAGTCGGAGCACGAAGGAATTGCCTGTCAGCAGGAGCTGATCCAACCTGGGAACACGACTGGCTGTGCTGATTTAGAGGCGTCTGGCTTCTCCTCCCGCCAGGAGGGAGATGGTAGCAATCCCAGGTGAAGCCAAGGCAAGAGCAGGTTGAAAGGGGCTCGCAGTGCTGCCTGCAAGAGAGCCGTGGCCGGGCAGGGCACGCTGCCCGCTGCTCTGGGGGCTTTCTCCTGTTGGGCATCTTGGCATGCACTGAACGCAAAGCCAGCTCCGTGGGTTTTTGGCTTACAGAGGAGGTAGATGTTGTATGTTTGAGATACGAAGATTGCCTTTTCAGACAGACACAGGAATTTAAGATCGAATGTTACCAGAGCTGGGCAGTGTTTTTTAACAAATAACGATAACTTGTGGGAAAACTAAGGGTGTTTTTGTGGGGGACTGCATTTATGTACACACTTGGGCCACCTTCAGCAGAGGGTTTTGACCTCCAAACACTAAAACAGGGGAATAGTTGGAAAATGTTTCATTTTGGCCTTTCTTTACTTTTCAGTATGAAGAGATTTAAATAAAAGGTTAAAAAAATGAATTTGTTCAGTAATTTCTGAAATGAAACAGTTGGTTTCACATAAAATAAGTTGTTCTGGGATGATCCCAAACAACGTTTTTCAGATTGCTTAAGAAGAAAAATGCATCTCAGTGGTTCACTGAACACTTCTCCCCCCAGCCTGCCTGTTATTCCACAACTGCTCCCTGCTTTCCCTGATGAGTTCCCAGCTCCTCGCCGTCTCCGTCGGACTGTGCCTTCGCTGCTGCCCTCACCCGCAGAAGGACCAAGCCCTGGTCTGGGGACTCATCCTGTCCCCGGCCGCACAACAGCAGTGTCTCAGGAGCCCTGTTTGGTTCTGTGGTGTAAGGTTTACAGCCCCAGGCAGAGTGCTATTTCCATTGTTTATTTAAAATGATGTTTATTTTCGTGAAGCCCAGCTTTTGTGCTCACTGCTCTGTTCCCCCTTCCCTTTCCCTCCACCGGGACTGTCTCTCCCCGCGTTAGGTGGACGCTTCTTCCGCAGGCCTGTCACCTCTGTGGGGAATAGCAGCCTGACTGGGCCGAGCACAGCTCGCAGCTGCACCAGGACCTCCTCTCCACCTGTGCTGCTGCTGTTTGTCTCAGCTAAACCCTCACTGTGTGAATTCTCGCTCTAGGGTGGCTGCAGGGCAGACCCTCGCAGGGTGCAGAGGAGGGTGTGAGCAG